GTTTTGGTGAGATTCACTGCAGTCTGACCTTTCCACACTCACAGCTGAAGTCGGCCAGCATTTGTGCCGCTTGGCTAATGTTTGGTGTTATTAGAATGATGTCATCAGTGAAGCAGAGGTGTTTTAGTTGCCGACAATCTATCTTCACTCCCATTTCTTCCCATCCTAGTCGTCGAATGACATTCTTGAGGGTGGCACTGAAGAATTTCGGTGAAATGATATCACCCTGCCAAACCACTCTCTTGACCTCGATGATCACTTCCTTGTAGATTGTTGAGATCCTGGTAGTGAATCATTAATACAGCTCGAGGAGGATTCGGATGTACTGAATTTAAATGCCCTGTTTGGCTAGGGCTTCGATGACCGCTTCAGTCTCAGTAGAATCAAAGGTCTTCTTTAAATTGATGAACGTTAGATAGAGCGGCATCTTGAAGTCTCGTGAAATATCAATCAGTATGGTCACTTGTGGATATGATCGATTCTGCTGAATCAGGACTTCTTATACAATTCTATGAAATAAGTTTCAGTTTCATACATTTGAATTGAAATGTGAACAACAGTCAAAGGCATCTGTTTTTACCACTGGAGGAGATTTCATGCAAGTAAATATCCCTTTTCCACTTTTTTTTTTTAGGTTCTATTTGGCTGTGTTCATTGTCACATGACACAGCCCCCAGAGAACTATGCAGTGCTGAAATTGAATCTGGGCCTCCAATAAGCATTCACTTAGTTCTTTGAAGAGTCTCTGCACTGTATCATTGTAGCACTGTCTTTCCATTTTCATTGATTTGCTCGAGTGGGCCCAGTAATATCTCCATCATGAGACTTGTTTTACTGTGTTTGGTATATCGAATATGTCATGGGTAGCTTACCAGGCTTTGCTGTGCAGGCAAGATACTCTAGGTAGCTCGCCAGGCTCACAGAGATTGGCAGAGGAATTGAACTCAGCTTGGCCGGGCTGGCTGCGTGCAAGGCAACTATTGCCCTATCTGCCTGTTATCTGTTGTCTACAAATTATTCACTCAAGTCATCCTGAATAGGATTGGAAGAACACTAGATTAAGGACAACCGTGCAAGCAAGTCAGATTCCAAAAAGGATTCAGCATAATCGTCCATATCCACATGATAACCAAGTTCATTGAGGTTTCTCAGAATTTCAAGATGCAGCTCTGTCTAACGTTCATTGATCTAAAGAAGGCTTTGATTCTGTTGACTGAAGTGTCATCGAAGCCCTAGGCAAACAGGGCATTCAAACTCAATACATCAGGATCCTCTGTGAGCTGTGTTGCGGATTCACTACCAGGATCTCACCATTCTACAGAGAGATGATCATTGACTCATGAGAGGGGTTCGGCAGGGTGATACCATTTCACCAAAACTCTTCAGTGCCACACTCGAGAACGTCAGGCGACAACTGGAATGGGAAGGAATGCGATTGAAGATAGACAGTCAACAACGACACCGCCTCCGCTTCGCTGATGACATCATTCTAGTAACACCAAACATCAGCCAAGCTGTACAAATTCTGGCGACTTCGACTGTGAGTGTGGAAAGGTTGGAATACAGCTAAATCTCACGACGACAATGTTTATGAGAAATGGTCTCATTCCTGACGGTCCATTCACTCTCAACGGGATGGACATTTCCGAAGGCAACAGTTACATGTACCTAGGTCAAAATTCAACATGACAAATGACCTGGCACCTGAGTTGCGCAGGAGGAAGAGAGCATCTTGTAACGCCTATCAGAACGTCGAAGAAATAACTAAGAGGAGGAAGAACCTCCAGCTCCGGGCCCATCTCTTCAATTTCACTGTTCTTCCTGCTTTAACATACGTCTCAGAGACCTGGGTCCTATGTAAACAGGATGAGAATGCTATTCGAGTCTCCCAAAGAGGAATCAAAAGAGCTATGCTTGAGGTATCATGCTTCACTCGAATGAGAGAAAGAATCTGGACTTCCGACCTCTATCAACAGTCAAGAATCAGGGATACTCTCTTGTTTGCCAAGGCATCAAGAATTAGATGGGCTGGACACATAATGTGATTTGGAGACAGCCACTGACTAGAGCCACTACTGACTGGATTCCATGGGATATCAAAAGATTGCGTGGCTGCCCACCTATGAGATGGTCAGACTTCTTTGAAAGACCTTGACAGAACGGTTTGAGGCTGTTCATAGTCCTAGAATGAGCAGACAGCATTGGGCTACACTAGCAACTGACAGGGACAAATGGAGACATTACTGGTGCCCACATGAACAAATCGATGAGTAATGGCATTTCAACTGATCAAGTGATTATGTGACACATGCTCACATTTCAACTCAAATGTGTGACACTGAAGCTTAGTTTAAGTAATTGTATAAGAAACTTCGAAGCTAATATTATTTAGATTTATCTTGGCTTATGGCTTTCAATTTAAGTTTGGCAATGTAATTAAAAATACCCTTTAACCCATCGAGAGAGACTGGAAGTGGAGTGTGGGTACTGGGGATGGTGGGAGGGAAACTGGGGACATTGGTGGTGGGAAATGTACTCTGGTGGAGGAATGGGTGCTGGATCATTGTATGACTGAAAACCAAAACCCAATTATAAACAGCTTTGTAATGGTCTATTTCATCAATAGTCAGTTAATAGAATTAAAAAAAAAAAAGTAATATATCGTTCATGCCTGCTTCAATCATCTTAGTCAGTGGCTGAATAAATGGCAGTAGACCTACAATAAAGCAATGTGTATAGGGGGTGGAGTGATAGCACAGCAGGAAGGGTGTTTGCCTTGCACACGGCCAACCCAGGTTTGATACCAAGCATCCCATACGGTCCAGCACCATTAGAAGTAATTCCTGAGTACATGAGCCAGGAGTAACTCCTGTGCATCACCGGGTGTGACCCAAAAAGAAAAAACAAAACTATCCTTTAAGTATTATCTACCAGATAAGAGCTTTCCAGTGTTCTTAGGACAAGAATTCCCCAGGCAGTGATGTGTCCCTAAAGGAGCTCTGAGGAGAAGGTGAGAGAGCAGAAGGCAAAGGCCCGAATGTGACTACAGCAGGAACAGGTTTATGGTACTGAGCACAGGGTTTGCTCTTGGTGGACTGGGTGAGGTTTTCAAATAAGAAAATTCAAGGATGTTTCCAACGACTTTCACACGTGCTGATAGAAAGTTAAATAAATGGTGTCTCAATCAGAGAGCTGTGGACACTTATAATGTCATTTTAAATATTATTTTTTTATTTATTGTTTAAAATTTGGGGCTGAAGCAATAACACAGCAGATAGGGCGTTTGCATTCCACGCAGCCAACATAACCTACCCGAGTTCAATTCCTCCGCCTCTCTTGGAGAGCCCAGCAAGCTACCGAGAGTATCTCACCCGCAACTCAAAACCTGGCAAGCTCCCAGTGATGTATTCGATATGACAAAAAAAGTAACAGCAAGTATCACAATTTGTTGTGAGATGTTACTGGTACTTGCTTGAGCAAATCGATGAACAACGAGAGGACAGTGCTATAGTGCTGCAGTTTAAAATTTTATTAGGGCACAGCAATTTAACAAGTTTCTCATAGTAGAATATGTGACCCAAACTGTTCTGGCACCAGTGCCACCCCCAGTGTCATTGGCGAAAATTTTTGAAACCTCAATGCAGCACTGAAGACTCTGGAAAGGACAAATTGTGGACCCACTTACACTCCCCTGTGGAGAGACTGAAACTGCAGCGCAGCCTGGAACTTCAGTGTATTTTGGTATTTAATTAACTTTATAGGGCTGGAGCAATAACACAGCAGGTAGGGCGCTTGCCTTGCTTGCAGCCGACCTGGGCCGACGTTGGTTTGATTCCTCCGCCCCTCTTGGAGAGCCCGGCAAGCTACCGAGAGTTTCGTGCCCTCATGCAAAGCCTGGCAAGCTAACCATGACATATTTGATATGCCAAAAACAGTAACAAGTCTCACAATGGAGATATTACTGGTGCCCGCTCAAGGAAATCACTGAACAATAGGAGGATTGTGCTATACAGGGCTATCATTAGTTTGGTTGTGCCACACCCTACACTGAACATGGCATTCTGTTGACTCGGTGCCATACCTGGCAAACACCTTAGAGCCTCCATTATCTCTCTTACCCCAACAGCACTTTCCTTCTAATTCATAAACATTTTCTACTTTTTCTCAATGAGAATGGGATAGGGAACATAAAGACAGTTAAGGAAGGGCTTGCTTCCTGTGAACGCTACTTCCCTAAACATGGAGCTTCTAGTGACAGGTTAGAGCTCTAGGGAATCCCATCACTGCTCTGAAAATCCCTTCTATCCAGCCCCACCCGACCTCCCATCAGTCATTCCTGGGTGAGTCTCTCCAGACCCACCTTATGATGCATATAAACACGGTGCTGAGTGCAGGGCACACAATGCGCTAGTGCAGCCTGAGTCTGCATCCTTCAAGGGAAGTAGCTCACCAGCAGGACCAAGCACTGCACCAGCCAGAGTTAGGATCAAGGTGAGTTAGCGATCAATCTGGGGTTTGTGGTAACTGGAGGCAGGAATAAGGGACAAGAAATCAATCAGGGAATTTGTGGTTCTTGTGGGGTCAGAGCATTATTTCTACAGCTTCCTTAGTGCCTACTGTGTGCAGGGTCTAGAGGGGCTCCGTTTGACCATCTGATCTCTATTTTCTTTATACTATACCCCAGAGTTGAGTGACCATTACTCTGAAGTAAAAGGGGTCATTTTCTCATCACAGAAAGTGGTGATCACTTGAAACAGGGGATTCTAATAGATGAAGCCCCGGAGGTTGGTGGGCTTATTGGTGAAAACAGTTTGGAGGGCCTTGAGTCCAGATGGGAGCTATGTTTTCATAGAGATAAATCACAGAGAAAACCATCTTAAATTTTGAACAGAGGCTGAGTTTGTGATTTTTTTAATTTTTTATTTTCTGGCAGGAGAAAACCTGAGGAGTTCGAACTTGTGAGCAAAAACGTCCTTGTCCTGCCCTTTCCACACCTAAGGATGGAGGAGGTGTCGGCAGCCCTGGCCAAAATGCATCCAGAACTCATCTGTCTTGTCTGCCTGGACTACCTCAATGACCCTGTCACCATCGACTGCGGCCACAACTTCTGTGACTCCTGCATCCGCATGTCATGGAAGGACCTGCAGAACACATTCCCCTGTCCTGTGTGCCGGCAGGCCCGCCAGGAGATGCTTGTCAGTGCCAACGGCCAGTTGGGCAGGCTGGTGGACCTGGCCAAGCTCCTGCACAGATCTGAGAGCAGCGAGATGGCGGGGACAGAGGAGCGCTGGTGTGAGGAGCACAGACAGGGAGTGAGTCTCTTCTGCAAGGATGACCAGGAGCTGGTATGTCCTCTGTGTGCCCAGGGCTCTGCCCACCAGGGCCACCACGTCAGGTTGGTGGCCGAGGCAGTGGCTCATCACAGACAGAGGCTTGGTGCCTATATCGAGTTCCTGAAGAAGCAGCTGGTAGAGGTGCAGAAGCGAGAAGTCGCCCAAGATAGAAACCTCCTGCAGCTGAAAGCAGACGTGGAAAAGCACAGGAGTCAGCTGGCCTCGGAATTTGAGCAGCTCACCCAGTTTGTGGAGCGTGAGCAGGAGGCGGCGCTCTACAGGCAGGCAGAAGAGGACAAACGCCTGCAGCAGCAGCTCAGGGACAACCTGGAGGCCTACTCGGACCACATCTCCAAGCTGAAGGACCTCAGACGGGTGGTGGCGGAGCGAAGCGTGATGTCGGAGGAGATGGTGCTGAGGGGGGTGAGGGACCTACAGCAGCGCTGGGCGGGACTGCAGCCCCCGGCCGTGCAGCTCCTGCGCTTCAGGCCAGTGACCTACAGCCTCCCTGCTCTGTGCTCAGCACTCAGCAGCATCATCCAGAGATTCCGAGAGAGCATCAGCCTGGACCCCGACACGGCCCACCCCAGCCTGCGTGTGTCCCAGGACCTCCAGTCGGTGACCTGCGTGAGGAAGAGGTCCAAAGGGGATGGGGACCCCGGGTCCTGGGATGACACCGGCCAGCTGGTGGTCCTGGGCCGGGAGGGCTTCACCTCTGGCCGCCACTACTGGGAGGTGCAGGTGGGCGCCAAGCCTGAGTGGGCCGTGGGCGTGTGCAGCGTCGCCCCTTTGGCCCAGACCTCACGGCCCCTGGTGGCTCCCAAAAGATGCTGGACGCTGCAGCTGCAGGACGGCGACTACCTGGCCGTGGGCTCGGGGACCGTGCCTCTGGCTTTCAGGGACCAGCCTGCTACCATCGGCCTTTACTTGGACTGGGAGCTGGGCCAGCTTTCCTTCTACAACGCGGCCGACAGGTCTCACCTGCACTCGTTCACAGAGCCCTTTGCTCAAGAGCTCAAGCCCTACTTTCGCGTGGGGCCTGACTGCACCCCTCTCTCCGTGAGGGCGGGGAGGGCTGGGGAAGGGTGAGCACAGCCTGGGTTTCCCCCCTGCATCATGTGGACTACGGGTTATCTGATATTTATGAGACTGGTTGCATAAGTCTTCAATTTTGGGGCAGCTTAGGGAGATGATCTCTTCTTGTAACTCTTTGTAATATATCTCTGATTATTTTGCACCTATATGCCTGTTTCTAATAAAATACACTTTTACTGCAAAGAAAAGTCTTGCTTCCTTGCAGCAGAAATATGTTTTAAAAGGCATTACACAGTTCTCACGGGCTGGAGCGATAGCACAGCGGTAGGGCGTTTGCCTTGCACGCAGCCAACATGGCCGACCTGAGTGCGATTCCTCCGCCCCTCTCGGAGAGCCCGGCAAGCTACCGAGAGTATCTCACCGGCACGGCAGAGCCTGGCAAGCTCCCCGTGACGTATTCAATATGCCAAACACAGTAACAACAAAGTCTCCAATGGAGACGTTACTGGGCCCGCTCGAGCAAATCGATGATCAACGGGAGGGCCTTTTACTTTTACACAGGTCTCATATCCATTCCTGCTTATTACTTTATATCTACAGTGTATTTTATTAGCGGTATGCACATTTGACAAATTTCCCTCAATTATATAAAACCTAGGAGTAGTGATCTCCATGCCTGGAACAAGGAATATCCTCTAAGCCCTACTGAGTATCAGGTTTAAATACTAAAATAAGTATATAAAAAAGTTAAAAACAGTTCTGGATTTAGTTTTGATATATTTTCTGTATTTACAAAGAGAATTTGGACTAAAATATCACATGCCATCATAATTACACCACTCACTAATGAGTGGTGCAATTACACCACTCATTAATGATTGGTCAAAGACCTTTCTGTGTAAACATTCCTCCTTCTGTTGACATGTATGTCATAAGCAGGCTTAAAGCACTCATTAGAATCTTTCTAATATTCTTAAATATTCTATTTATTAATTGTTTTCAATTTTAATTCAAAAAAACAAATATGCTAATTTAACTTCAACGCATGAAAAATATGTCCTTCATTTTGTATTTTTTAATCACTCTTTTCATTTTCTTTTAGTAAGAATAGTATTTGGTGGGCTCACTTGGTATGAGTTCCTCAAAAGGAATACAACTAAGATGGGATTGAAGAATATACTATCAGGATCACGATCACGATCATCCTGTTGTTCGTTGATTTTCTCAAGCAAGCACCAGTAACGTCTAATTCTTCCTAGCCCTGAGATTTTTAAAAGAGCCGTTTCAATGCTCTTTCAGGATTAGAAGAATGAGCCCCATCATTGTTACTGGTATTTGGCATATTGAGTATGACCCGGGAAGTTTGCCAGACTCTGCCGTGCGGGCAGGATACTTTTGGTAACCTGCCACGTTCTCCAAAGGAAAAAATAAGATGCCGCGAATGAGGCCGCACACTTCTGGGTGCTTGGTTTTATAGTCTCTGCGTCCTGGCCATTGATGGGACCAATCTGGCACTGGCGGCAGCTGGTGGGTGTGATGCCTACTTACTGGAAGATGAGGGGGGTCTGGGTGGAGAAGGCCCAGTCCCAATCCAAGTAGGCTTGGAGACCTCAGCCCCAGGACCCGCATGCCTGGGTTCCTCTGCCAGTTCTTTCATGAATGAGGCCCGTCCGGACGAGTAGAGAGTGGTCCCAACATGGCCATGGCTGGCTCCGGAGGTCCTCAGCTGCTGGGGCTCTGCTCGGGGTGGGGGGTGGAGAGAAACTCAACCCTACCCCGTCCAAGGGGCCCTGGTGAGGACAGGCACGGGGACAGGTGACTGCACTGTTCTCCTCCGGGGGCTGGGTTTTATAGTCTCTGCGTCTTGACCGTTGATGGGACCAACCTGGTGCTGGTGGCAGCTGGTGGGTGTGATGACTACCTACTGGAAGATGGAGGGAGGGGTCTGGGTGGAGAAGGCCCAGTCCCAATTCGAGTAAGCTTGGAGACTTCAGCCCCGGGGACCCGCATGCCTGGGTTCCTCTGCCAGTTCTTTCATGCTTGAGGCCCATCTAGACATGTGGAGAGTGGTCCAAGCATAGCTGTGCCTGACTCCGGAGGTCCTCAGCTGCTGGGGCTCTGCTCAGGGTTTGGGGGGGAGAGAGAAACTCAATCCTCGAAAGGAATACAACTAGGGTGGGATTGAAGAATTTACTATCACTAGCTCTAAATAGGAAGACTCAATATGGTCAGGGTTGGAGCAATAGTACAACAAGTAGGGCATTTACCTTGCATGAGAGCTGGGTTTGGTTCCCAGCATTACATATGGTCTCCGAAGCACTGCCAGGAATGATGACTGTGCATCTCCAGATGTGACCAAAAAAGGAAAAAAAAGAAAACTCTTAATACTCAATATGGTCATACCCAACTTTGTAGGCAACCAACCCAGATTCGATTTCCAACATCTCATATATTCCCCTGAGCACTGCCAGGAGTAATTCCTCAGTACATAAACCAGGAGTAAACCCAGTGCATTGTCCGGGTGTGACCCAAAAAGCAAAAAAAAAAAAAAAAAAAAAAAAAAGTCTCAGGCTTTTTTTGACAATACCATAGCAGTGAACAGACTTTTAGCCAGGTAGAAAAGTTGTCTGTAGGCAGATTAGGAGAAAACCTATAAAGTTACTCTAAAATTATTGTGAAGGCAAGTACTTTCCTCCCCTGAATCTCTAACTGTGGAATTGCTCTCAGCTCTCATCTTGTAGAAGTCTATGCTCTCTCTGAACATGTTATTCTCTTTCTTTCACTTCTAGTAATCTCTAAATACAACTATTATACAAGCCAAAAAGTAGTGATTTGGGGGAAATGATATAAACATAAATTGAAAGTGGTTTAAGAAACTATATCAATTAAAGCTTGTTGTTCCTAGCTTAGTCCTGGATTCTGTTCTTTGGGATCCTTACTGACAATCCCTGTCATCATTTAAAGTGATAGGGTTCAAACCCAGGTTCTGTGTAAAGCTAGTGCTTTACCCACTATTCTTTCTTTCCAGCTCTTAAAGAATTTCTTGATGCTAGCCTGGAGTCTATGGAATTAACAATTTATAAATCCAGTCATGCTTGTCTCCATTTACCTATTCCTCATATTGTGAGGTAGAGAAAGAACCTCATTAGCACCGTGACAGGCTGCATTTCAACAAATGAGCAGTAGGCCTAAGTTTCTGCCCCCCCCTGTCTCCGCAACACACCAAAGAATTTCCTGAAACTGTCCTTGGCCAAAGCTAGAAATCCCTAGGCACCTTTTGACAGTCCTGTGAGAAGTAGGATATCTCTGGGCACAGCAGGTGGGCATGACCAATTAGCTCACAGACTTGTGACAGTTTCCTCAAATTTTGGGAAAACTGCCACCTTTGCTTCTAAAACCATAAGCGATAAAGTGTCTTCTGGAACTTTCTGTGGAACAGACTTGCACGCTGCTGACCCGGGTTTGATTCCCAGCATCCCATATGGTGCCCCAAGCACCGCCAGTAGTAATTCCTGAGTGCAGAGCCAGGAGTAACCCCTGTGCATCACGGGGTGTGACCCAAAAAGCAAAAAAAAAAAAAAAGGCAAGAATTGTCCAGGTGGGTCAGATTATCAATAAAATTGTCCAAGTGGGTCAGATTATCAATAAAATTGTCCAGGTGGGTCAGATTATCAATAAACTCTTTTGAGTTTATTAAAGCCCCAGTGAGGTGTTGGCAGCACCAACAATTCTCAGCCTGGTACTCAAAGGTCTTACTTAGTCCCAACTCACTTCAGCACCGCCCCCATTGACCAAAGAAGATAGAAAGGAAAGTGGCAGAATCTCATATGATGGCTAATGGTTCTCTTCTCAATCTTCACATAAGTCACTTTCAACAGTTCAAGTTAAAAATGGTGATATTAAATTAGAAAATATATGCAACAAGTGATTGTACTTATTTTGGAAATTTGCATAGAAATGTATGGCATAAAGATATCAAATAAAGTACCTACATCTTCAATTAGAGTTTATTATACTGTGTTTAGTAATATAGATAAAGTTCTACAAAGGACCTTGAGTTGCTATTTTGATACAGAAAATGGATGTTAGCTAATGCTGAAATTTGAACCTTTTCTCTATTACAGAGGCACAAAGAACAAAATCACTATTTTTATTTCTTTTTTATTTAAAAAAAACTAAATACTGTGGTTTACAAAATTATAATAAAATAGTTGTTTGGGGCATTTGGATTTCCAATACCCATCCATCCATCAATGTACATTTCTCAACACTAATGTCCCCAGTTTCCACCCCCAATATAGATCCCCCTTTATATTCATCAACATAAACGAAAGGTAATGTTTTGGGGAACAGGGGTTGTTGACATTGGAGTGGGTTGAACCACATCTAGAGGTATCAGGGCTGGCTCCTAGCTTAGAGATAATATGTGGCAGTGCTCAGAAGACCATATAGGATTATATGCAAGGCAAATACTCTTCCCACTGTATGATTAGTCTGGTCCCAAACTTTCATGACTCCTTGTAGATCTTAATATTCTGGAGTTAAATATGATGGAAACTAATCCCACCAGTATGACACTGTGTGGGACAGGGTGTGGGTATTTTATTTCCTATAGCTCTGATAACAAAATCTTTGTTATGATAAACATAAGCAGCTGTGCGGTGTTAACAAAGATATTTTATAGGTATCACAAATCAAATCACAAATCATCCTGTTAATCGTCGATTACCTCGAGCAGGCCCCAGTAATGTCTCCTTCATCCTAGCCCTGAGATTATATTCAAGGCTCTTTAGGAGAATGAGACCCATCATTGTTACTGGTATTTGGTATATTGGGTACGACACAGGGAGTTTGCCAGACTCTGCCGTGTGGGCAGGCTACATTCGGTAGCCTGCCAGTTTGTCCAAAGTAGGAATGAGATAATAAGATGTCATTATAGGATGCCATAATAGGATGCATTCACGGTCACGCAGTTCCGGGAGCTGGTTTTTACAGTCTCTGAGTCTTGGCCATTGATGGGATTA